TTTTCAGGAATGCAAATATAAAGGTATTTATACAAAACCCAAGTCTCTGTATATTTTTCACAAATCCCAAGAATTATCCAATAATAAGGACTTTTAATTAATTTTTAAAGTGTAGTCCTTATATTCTTCATTTCCTTCCTTTGTTTTAAGAGAATTGCTTTAAATGAATTGCTCTTCTTCACACTTCAGAGCAATTATTAATTGCCTAGTGTTTTCTCTTACTGGAAGATTCTATGAAGTCATGAACTACTTCCTTTGTTCTACTTGACCAAGGAGCAGTATTCGTGCTAAAGCTATACTCTTAAATTTTTTTTTAATATCAGAAGTCACAGAAATCATATCTTTTTAGCATTTAACAGTGTGGTTGCATTCTGGAAGAAGAACCACTCACTGAAAAGTATACAGCAGTGTTCATTTTTATCCTCAGATGGAAGGAAGGGAAAGTCATACTGCCCTTATTTATTGATCAAATATTATGATGACTGTTTTCTTGATAGGAGCCATTCTTTCTGGGATGAGGTGGAATCTTAGTGTTGTTTTCATTTGCATCTTTCAGATAACTAGTGATGTTGAACATTTTTTCGCATGTTTATGTGCCATTTCTACAACTTTCTCTGAGAAATGCTTGTTCATTTCAGATGCCCATTTTTGGATTGGGTCTTTAAATTTAGGAAGACTGACTTCTTTAAAGTTCTTTATACATTCTAGATAGTAGACCATTATCTGAGTAACAGCTGGTAAAAATGTTTCCCACATTGTGGGTTTTCTCTTCTTGCTGTTGGTGGTTTCTCTTGCTGTATAATAACTTTTTAATAAGATGCGGTCTCACTTGTTGATTCTTTGTGCTTGTTCACATACAACTGAGGTTTTGTTCATGAAATCTGTTCCTACACAAGTGTATTCAAGAGTTCTACCCAACCTCTCTTTCATCCAATTTAGTGTTTCCATTTTAATAATTAGATCTTTATTCAATTTCATTTTTAGTTTAGTGTATGGTGAGAGATATAGGTCTAGTTTTAATCTTTGGCAAGTTGCAATCCAATTTTTCCAGCACCATTTATTAGAGTCTATCTTTCCTCCAGTGAGGGAGCTTGGTTCCTTTGTCAAAGATGAGGTTGCTGAGTGTGTCTGTAGTTGTTTCTGCATCTTCTAACTGGCTCCACTGATCTTTGGGTTTATTTTTTGCCAGAATCATGCTATTTTTATACAGTAGCTTTGTAGTATAGTTTCAAGTTGGGAATTATGATACCCCCTACTTTGTCTTTATTGCCTAGGGTTGCTTTTGCTATTCTAGGTCTCTTCTGGTTCCAAATGAATTTTTGGATTGTTTTCTCAAATTCTGTTAAGTATGCTGTTGGAATTTCAGTTGCATGACATTGAATCTATACAGAAGTTTTGGAAGTATGGTCATTTTCATCTTTTCATTTTCTAATATCCTCTCTGATTTCTTTTTTCAGCATGCTAGAATGGCTGATTTCAAGAAATAAACCAATAACAAATGGTGGAGGGGCTGTAGGGAAAAAGGAACCCTTCTCCACTGTTGGTGGAAGTGTAGACAGGTGCAACCACTATGGAAATCAGTATGAAGATACCTCAGAAAACTAGGATTAAAGGTCCCATTTGACCCAGCTATTCCCCTAGTGGGTATCTTCCCAAAATAATTAAAAGAATCATAGCATTGTGATATATGTGCAACCATTTTCATAGTTGTACAGGTTGTAATAGCTAAAACTTAGAAACAACACACTTGCCCATCAACTGGAGACTGGATAAAGAAAATGTGTGTTTTCTTTTTAAATAAAATGGAGTACTAATCAGGTATAAAGAATGAAAAACTAGAGATCTTTATACCTAAATGGATGCACATTGAGGCCCTACTCAATGGAAATAAATTAGACACATGTGTTGAAATACTTACTAATTTCTCTGGTGTGAAAAACTGAAAGTTTAGGTAAGGATCAACATGTATAATAGATAATGTGAAATAGAAAAAGCGTTGAGGAGAAGGGGAAGTGAGAGGGGTGGGGGAAAGACAAGAATGGAAAGGAATAAATATGAGAAAGTGAAAAAAATGGAAACAAAATTTTGTAAATAGGGAGGAGTTGAAGGGAGGGCTGGGGAATGGAAAAATATTGTGTAATGGTACAAATTCCCAATAATAAATGCCAGCATATTGTATCCTAAAATATACCAATAGAATTAATGAATAAAAATATAAAAATAATTTTGGTAGGGAATGCTCCTGATTCTTCTTGCTATCTACAGGGATATATTCATCAAAGTAAAGAAATGGTGCCAAATAGATATGTCAAGAAAAATAATAGTTGGAGTTAGGACTTAAATTGAGGTTGAACTCTCACTGGAGCAAGCACTAATTGACAATAGTGAAATAGGAGATCAATCATCTGGCAAAATCCAACAAGCAACACAGGTAGTCAGTATTTTAATTCATAACAATGGGAAGAGGAAACAAAGGGAAGAAAGAAAGGATTTCATCAAACTCTATTGTTTATGTGAGCCTATTCTGTATTACTAGAAAAGAAATGTTTAAAATAGTGGTAACAAATTATTTATAATATACGAGAGATATTCAGAAGATGATGGCATGATTATTTTGAAAATCACATAGATCTTTCAGTCCATACAATCTGCCTCAGAAAGTAGCAGAAAACTTACTTTGTGATCTTTTTCTTCCTTCTCAAAATGTCATTTGTCTTTTCCTGTTCCTCAGTTAAGAGTTCCAACATCTATTCAGGTGAATAAAATCTATTGACTTTCACTAACATCTCTGACTTTATTTATTTTTTCTCATTGAGTTCATTGGTACATTTGAGGTATACAGTACAGTTACCTTCATTTTGGGATCTTGTACCTTTATATGACAGGTCTTGGTTCTCATTTTTTCCCCTTACCCCTGCCCCCACTTCACCCCTTCCTCCCTTACCTATTTACAAATACTTTATTTCCATTTTTTCATTTTCTCATATTGGTACATTTGAGGTATACAGTACAGTTACCTTCATTTTGGGATCTTGTACCTTTATATGACAGGTCTTGGTTCTCGTTTTTTCCCCTTACCCCTGCCCCCACTTCACCCCTTCCTCCCTCCTCCCAATAGTTGGAGTTAGGACTTAAATTGAGGTTGAACTCTCACTGGAGCAAGCACTAATTGACAATAGTGAAATAGGAGATCAATCATCTGGCAAAATCCAACAAGCAACACAGGTAGTCAGTATTTTAATTCATAACAATGGGAAGAGGAAACAAAGGGAAGAAAGAAAGGATTTCATCAAACTCTATTGTTTATGTGAGCCTATTCTGTATTACTAGAAAAGAAATGTTTAAAATAGTGGTAACAAATTATTTATAATATACGAGAGATATTCAGAAGATGATGGCATGATTATTTTGAAAATCACATAGATCTTTCAGTCCATACAATCTGCCTCAGAAAGTAGCAGAAAACTTACTTTGTGATCTTTTTCTTCCTTCTCAAAATGTCATTTGTCTTTTCCTGTTCCTCAGTTAAGAGTTCCAACATCTATTCAGGTGAATAAAATCTATTGACTTTCACTAACATCTCTGACTTTATTTATTTTTTCTCATTGAGTTCATTGGTACATTTGAGGTATACAGTACAGTTACCTTCATTTTGGGATCTTGTACCTTTATATGACAGGTCTTGGTTCTCATTTTTTCCCCTTACCCCTGCCCCCACTTCACCCCTTCCTCCCTTACCTATTTACAAATACTTTATTTCCATTTTTTCATTTTCTCATATTTTTTTCTTTTCCTTTATTTCCTTTCCCCTACCCTTCCTGTTCTTTGACTTTAAAATGGGGTCATAATTAGTTCTTCAAATAAAATGCTGAAAAAAACCTTCATTTTTACTAGTATCAATCACTTCTCATCACATTTATTCTACATATTACTATTTATATTATTGAAATAACTAGAGAAAGGGACAGGAAATCATGGTTTTGCAAAAGTGGAGACATTTTCCACCACTCTGCAGATGTTTTCGAAGTATACAATGAAGACATTCAGATTTTGAGAAATTGTGATTTATGCAAATTCATTCAGTATGAACAGTGGAACATTCCAAGAATGTTCACTGGCTGAGGAGGTGAATGTGATATAATGGAATTGGGTAAAAACTAGAAAGGAAATTATCATTCAAAAATGAGGATTAAAAACTCTTTTCACTTAACTTTATAGACATGCATATCTGCCACATACACGCACACACACACACACACACAAACACACACATCTTTATTTCCTGAGTATCTACATATAATCTCTTATCAGTTTTCCCACAAGTTAATATGTTAGGTCTAAGATATGTGTTTAAATTTAACTCAAAATTTGTAGAATTCATTATCCAGAAGCAATGGAATTATTTAAAAGTAGACATCCTTCTCCTAAAGTTGACCAAGTAAATTTGATGGTGTTTTGACAACCTCAGTGATTTTGATCTTTGATCATACAAAACAGATAAAATACCAGACAAAAGTCCTCTGCCTCAGAAAGGAAGAGATAGGTAGGTCAGAGATCAGTACCTGGGATTGAGCCAGGCCACCTGCGGGTGGACCATGGTACGTGAAATTGGAATCGTTTGCAAAGTTTGTATGTGAAAGAACTACATCGCTTATCCCTAGTAGCTCATTTGGAAACTGAAGGATCTTCTCATTGTCTCCCCCATTTCAGAATCAGCAGCAGATTGCCCACATTTTAATTAATTTTCATTTTTTTAAAGCATGAAACTGAGCAGCCCTCTCACTAACCCTGTGTTCATTGCACAATAGGCCATGTGTTAGGCAGGATTCCTGATCTTTCCAGAGAATTAATGTGAGCCAAGTATAGAAATCTGCTGCGGTTACTGAAGGCTAACAGTAATTGTTCCAATGTGTCTGTTTATTATGCACATTTTCTCCCCTAAAGTTATTATGTTACCTACTCAGTGTATTTGTCAACTGTTAATGTCTTTGTTTTTGCAGATACAGATGTGGTGTATAAAAATGAGAATGGACATGTCATTAAACTGAATATAGAAACAAATGCTACCACATTATTGTTGGAAAACACAACTTTTGTAAGTAATTAAAAATGAATTACTTTGTATTTCAATACTGTTTAGAATGCTCTGTAGGTGTGCTTAATTTTCTATTCTCTAGTTCCAACATTTCAGGTGGAAAGTTAAGGCTATTGTCATTAGACAATATTGATAGAAAATACATTTATGGCCATGTGTTTTATTTTCTTCCTGTGTGACATTTTTAGTAAGTTAACAAATATTCCAAGAATAGTAATTGCAGGGATATTTTCTTTGTTTTTCCAGCTTTAATTGAGTTTATTGGTACATTTTAGGTATACAATATAGTTACATTCATTGTTGGGATCTTGTACCTCTACATGACAGGTCTTGGTTCTCATTTTTTCCCCTTACCTCTGCCCTCCCTTCACCCCCTCCTCCCCTCCCCATCTACAAACACTTTATTTTCATCTTTTCATTCTCTCACATTTTTTTCTTTTCCCTTTTTACTCTTCCCCTACCCATCCCACCTTCCCTACACCTTTAGCTCCTTTCTTCCCATTCCTGTTTTTAATGTTGCTCTTATATAACCACAGTAGCCGCTGCCATTCTAACAAATCTGACCCAATTAAGGATGAGAAAAATTAGGTATGATTATCTTTTTAGTAAGTTACAATGATCTAGTTATTACAAATATTGAAAAATATAATTTCCAAAAATTATAAAAATAATACATAGCTATTTATTCTTTCATAAATTCAAAGATTCACTATATTGTTTATTAGACAAGTTTGTATGCTAAAGATGAAACATATTGCAGGGTCTCAGAAGACCTCCATAAAATAAAACAATAAAAAAGGCTATTTTTAAAAATTTACTTACACTTGTACATTGCAAATACACATTAAATTTTCAGATATATTACACACAGTGCAAGAGATAGACTATGAACTTTCTCTTCTAGTATAT